TTCTCTATTTATAGAAGTCCAAACCTTTTCCTACAAGAAAAAGGACTAGCCAAATATTGGAGATTTATAATTTCTTTTTACAAAAAGGAAAGGTAATTATATTGCCCTTTTCCTTCAAGAGATAGGAAAACCAAATATGGTAAGAAAATTATGGCAAACACCTAACAGCACATTCAACGTCACGTCTGGTATTTAAGTGGAGAAGGAGCCATTATGCGTTGAGTTTCGAATCGTACGCCATTGGCCCATGCGGATTTCTCGGTTATTAGAAGAGTGATGATTTTATTGATTTGGGAAGAATTGCCATATGCAAGCTATAGATCGAAGAGAAGCAAATCTACCCAAAAGATATCGTTCTCTCCTAAGACACTCAATCATTTATACTAATATTACAATAGGTATAGAATATCTTGAAATCCAGGCAGATCTAGCAAAAGATTGAATACAAAGTTGAAAATTTGTATAGGTTATATCAACTAGAAGACGAATGCTTATTAGAGGACTCTTAGTATATTAAAGATATAACCACTAGTGTATATTAGAGAATCCCTAGTGATGGATAATCCTCAAGTACGGAGTATTCAAATATTATGGATCCAAACAGAGCATTATGATAATGAGGATTCATACCGTTGATTAGCTTGGGATTGAGGTGTAGCTGCTGTGCTGGAAATTTGTGGTTGCCTTGTCGTTGTTACAAATTACCTATGTGCAAAACCTTGTTGGCCCAAATCTGGATAAAGAAGGAATTTTGTGTAGGTTATTGTGCTTGATAGTAGGATGAATCCTCTTGACATGGGTGGAATCACGATTCATTTAATCAACCCCAAGTAATTTGGAATTTAGGAATAGTCGAATGATTTTCATATTTGTTACGTGGTGGTTGCCCAAATTTGTAATTGTGCGCTTCAGAATAACAATTGATACTTTTCGAGTGAGCTGCTTGATTCCATTCATTGTATTTCGCTATTCCTCATAGAACTTAAGCTGTCAGCTTCTGTAGTATCGTTTTCTTGGAGAGTCGAATTGCTTACGCCGAAGTTTAGGTTACTGCGTTCAAGCATTTCAAGCTTATGGAATACAGGGATAATACTCTGGGTGGCTTGATTCCACAATTCTGTTAGGCATCAGTGTTGGCTTAATTTAATATATTTTATTCGTACTTACCAAAAAATAAAATATACTATGTCATTTTGAAGCTTGTTTTTTATAGCCAATACTGTGCATTTTACCAAACATTGGAAGGTTGATCAATGATATAGGTATTGCAAGAACATATAGGCTTTTCAAAATGCTTTTATCTAGGTTATGTATTTGTTGGTTGTTCATGTATAGTCAGTGACAAGGCATGTTTGGTTTTGTATGAAAGATTGTAAGTTTTGCTTTCCATTTCAAGTTGGGGAATATTGTACCCTTTCTTTCGTAATGGTTGTGTTCTAGCCAGCTTGTGCGCGGGCCTTGACTAATCCACCGAGTACATGCTATCTGTTGGTATCTAGGGAATATTTTACCATTGGAAGTTTAGTACTTAAATGAATGTTTCCGATGACCAGTATCTTGTTTCTGCGGTTGCACGTCTGTTGCTTATTGACATTGTGGTATTGATACTGATGTTATTTATGTAGAGCATGTATTGGTACTTGACGCCTAAATTGGGCGCTATAGGACTTTGCAGATCTTGATCTACAACCTTATGTTGATGTTAAATATTTGTCTTGGGATCCTTTGCAAATATAGGTCTACAATCTTATGATGATGTTGATATTCGTGTTGTTTAAAGATGTATCACTTGTTGTCTAGGTGAATTTGATTTCTTACCGATGGAGTTGGGTTTTCCAGAACATAGTGATTTTTTAAGTGGATAAGGGCGATGACTTGAAAACTGGGGCTGCCTTATTGATTGTAGAGCGTAGCTAAGAGAGGGGTTAATCTATTTAACTAGAGAAATAAGTAAACTAACTGCACCGAGTAGGCAGTGTTGCATAGTGGTGAGTAGACAACACGAATTGTTAACCATAGTCCTCGCCTCCTCGGTATAGACATCATTCATACCAAAATATCAAAAAGCTTGAAAGTAGTTGACATGCTTGTCTTTGAATTGAAATGCAATAGATTTAAACGAAGTTTATTTAGTATATTGTAGAGTTAATATCCTAAAATTCCCCTAAACTATCAAGTTTTTGTCAGTTTCCTACTTGAACTATTCGGTGTCCCAAAAATTCCCCTGAACTATATTGTCCTTCATATTAAAACCCCCGCATTCCATTCTTAAAGGTGCGTCTAGTACACGCTCCTAATTGTCTAAAAAACGTGTCATGTAGCACTACACGTGGCTATTTAACTCAGGCTAAAACCCGCCTAAACTATCACGTTTTTGTTAGTTACCTACTTAAACTATCTGGTGTCCCCAAAACCCCCCCTGAATATCCCCTGTATATTAAAATCACATGTTGGACTTTTAAAGGTACGTCTATCTAACTATATTAACTGATGGTTTGTACAATTTTTTTTACATAGTTTACTCATGAAGTATTACTCTCGAATGATTGATTGATTCTAAGAGTTTTCGCCAAAATAATGTCTAATGTAATGTGTTAATTTTAGGTTTAATTGTGATTGTGCTTTATGCTAAACTCCACTCCGATTGATAAGTCCTTATTTATATTTACTTTATAGCAAAGTTAAAACATAAGTAAAAGCATATATTGTTGTATTTCTTAAAAGTTATCTTGTATTACAACAAAAGATACACAAAATAAAATTTTGCAAATAAAAAATCAATTGTCCAGCAATTATATTCTCTGATTCCAGATTACATAAAGAAGGTTCAAGAGATTTAACTTTATTCTTTACAAGGTGTTGAGTTTAATAAGAAGATTTAAATTGGTATTCTTTAAACAATATGTGTAAGACATGAAAGAGGTCTAAAACGAGAAAGAGAATAAATAATTTCAAAGGAAACAAGAGAAGGAGAATTTTTTTCAAAGGAAACCCATATGGACAACTAAAGAAAAAAGGTTAAAATATGAAGAAGAAGGTGAAAAACAAAGAACAAAGATGAAAAAATAAGGAAGAATGGTGAAAAATGAGGAAGAAAGATGGATATAACCGAAATTAGGAGAATATTTATTTAAAAAACTAAATTTGAAAGAGGGTTAGGTTAGTTAGCCATTATTTTCTGTTAGGTAGGTCATTTTAATGGATTTTTTCATGTACCACGCGCTTCCAAGAGAGTATCTACACATGTTATGTCAGATCAGCGACGAGGGATTTTTAATACGAGCGGCAATATAGTTCAGGGGGGTTTTGGGGACACCGAATAGTTTAAGTAGGAAACTGACAAAAATATGATAGTTTAAAGGGGTTTTAGGGTATTAACTTTATATTGTATCCTAAAAATGAACGCTTTAAATTAATATCCAATGTATTCAGAAAGTCTTTGTTCACGACTTTTCTTGGATTCTACTCTATTTTTTGTTTTGGATTGTTTGCACTTTTGGTCATGCACGGGAAACGCAGATGTCTTGTATATTCTCTTTGAGTTTTGATTCTACGTGATTTTTTTCGAGCAAGAAATTGTATTTTTTCTTCTCTTACTGATTTCTTCACGGAAAGAAATTGTATGTTTTTTTCAACCGAAGATCAATCGTTTCGATTTGGTAAAGCAGAGCTGATTCCAATTATGCCTTCCTTTGTCATATAGATCCAAGTAAATTATTTTTGGTAAAGACAGCTTTGTTCTTAGCACGAGATCTTTAGGTTATACTCCTTTTTTTTTTTTTTAAATGTTTGCACTTTTGGTCTTGCACGGGGAATGCACATTTTGTACGTATCCTCTTTGAGTTTTTCTGCCTTATGTGGAATTGATATTACAATTATTATTTTGTCGGATTGGAGGTCAATCACTTCTATTTGATTAGCCAAATATTGAATCGACCGTCAAAAGATTTGTGTACATCATCTTTTAGTTTTTTCTACCTTATGCAAAATTGAGATTGCAATCAATTATATTACCATTGGAGTTGTATCTTTCTAATTTGGTTACCTAAATGTTGAATTGGTCGTCAACCGATTTTTGAAGGCTAGACAACCAATTGTGCCTTCCTCAAGCCATCGTATGTCATATAAAAGGATTAGTGGCCGTGAAAGAAAGGAAAATATGGACAAAGAAGAAAAAGGAAAGGGGTGTTATCCTTTAGTTCGCGTCAGAAACTATCTACATTTGGTAGTTAAAAGTGTATAAAATTTGTATAATTTTTGAATATAATATATGTATATATATACAAAAAATATATATATTTTGGCTATTATTTCTAGAGCGGCAATATAGTGCATTTTTCCAAAAAGAAATAGGAGAAAATTAGGGCTATTAAAGATAGTTTAACACACTCTAAATCGAAAAATTTCAAGCCGACTGATTTGGAAAGGCTTGAGAAACTGGACTAAAAATTTGAGAACCTTGAAAATATTTGATTAAAAAAACAGTTCAAAAAGAAAATCGAGATTGGTGCAGAAGATCCGAAATTTGTACTTGAAATAATTGTAATAAGTTCTTCGACATCACCATCTAGTTTGTTGCGTCTTTAAACAAAAACTTCAATATAATATATTCAAATAAAGTTTTCTCATGTTTTTTTCTTAATAAAGAAATGTCGTAAGAAATAAGCTTTTTTTTTTTAATAGTAAAGCTTGTTGTAGTTTATTATCTACATTTATTTTCCTCCAATATATATTACGCCCTTAAATATCATCCTTCTTAGCACGCCCTTTTTAGATTGTAGGAGTATTCTAGAAGAAAAAAAGTGATAAGATATTAAAAGGGAATGAAATAAAACAGGATAACAATTAAACATATACGGATTAACATAATTTGCGCAATGGCAAACAAAGATAGCCACAAAAAGGCAGATCAATAGCAGCAAAACAAGCATATCAATTATCTAAACCAATCACTGAAAAACCTCTCTATAAAAGCTTTTTATCAGCCCAGAAGGTTTTTAATTATACTGAATTCAAGTCCCAAACATATAAATAAACAAAAATAAATAAAAAAGCTTTTCTATTACTAATATCAAGAATCAAATATGGCAAGTGCTCAATTCAATGTTGATCAATCCCATGACCAAGCTGAGGTGAAATATCATCTACTTTTTAGTTATAAAATGGATTCGAAATAAGCATATTTTTTTTTATAATACCAATGTAGTATAATCCGTGATATATAGCAGGTTAATTACCATTTTTATGAGATTATATATTAATTTTGTTATAGGTATTTATATGTAATCACCTTAAAAGTGACATGATTTTGAAATTACTTCTTACGTTATTGTTAGTATGTGCGTAGAATTTAAACTCATAAAAAGAATTACGATTTGACAAGTTCTTATTTTTCTTCTACTCTACGTGTAGGCCAAGACGGAGCAATGGACAGAATCAGCAAATTCCTCTGTTAATAAAATTGAAGATGCAATCCAAAGAGCTCGCGAATCAGCTCAACAAAAAAGGGAACAGAATTCTGGATTCCTTCACCAGGTAACTTTTTTTGGAAAAATACAAAATTGATCAGTCAGGTCGAAACTAATTGTGTTCGCTAGCCAAATAGGGTATAATATACACATATATGCACAAAACATATATTTTGTTTGTTAATCTTTTGGAAACGGTTAAAAATATACATTTCGTTATTTTTATTTTTATCGATAATTTTAAATAAATATTTTTGGTAATATTTAATCAGTTTTTTTTTCTTCTTGTTGGTTGTCTTTTAGACTGGAGAGCAAATGATGCACATGGCTCAAGGTGCAGTTGATGGGGTGAAGAACACACTAGGAATTGGATCGAACAAAAACAAATGAAAGTCAAGATCACCCCCCCCCTTTACTAAGGTGCCAGTGAAAAAATATTAATTTGTATGTGATTTGAAGAGATTTAATAGTGAATGGTAAAAACTTACTTGTATTTATAATCAGAATTATCATCACTATATGTTATATGCATTTATAATAAGGTTTATTGGTGTATAGGTAATAGACTACTTGTAAAATGAACCAAAAAGGAAAAAAATACCCCAGTACAAGAGAAAAATTCCTTTGCAAAAATTGTGGAAGACTTGGCCACACATTAGGGCAATGTATTTATATTCAACAGAACACCAAAGTCAATACGGATCCAGCCAAAGAACAACCTACAACAAAGGTGAAAAACCCACAAAAGGAGTGGAAAACAGTCTCTTTCATCAAAGGAAGAAAGCAAGGAGTAAGAGGTAATCAACAATCCAACAACAATACAATCAAGAACACCAATGGCCCAGGTATCTCGGTTAAATTGTTCAACGCTAATACTGGTAAGTATTTGGATACTCAAATGTTACAATATAAATCCAAAGATCCTACAAAATTCCTAGAAAAAAATGGTGCAAAGAATCCGGCCACCATGGTTAAGGAACAAATGGATAGTGAGCAAATGGTTTTAAGAAAAATCACTAATGATAAAAAAATAAATAATACAAAAACAAATATTAGCCATGCAAATGAACAAATGTTCACTCCAAATGAGGACATTGACATGCTGGAAACTAACGTGTCTACTACAAATAAAAAGAAAAATATTGCCATGCAACAAATTACACAAGTTGACAAAACTAGCCCCTCTACTAATAATAACCCTGTCGGACCTATTAACCAACATAACCAACAAGTTGGTAATAATCCTTCTTTAACCATTAATTATGAACAAAATCTTTCTCTTAGATATGAAAACAATCCCACCCCAAAGCATGCCATCCAAATGGCATCTAAAGACGGCAGAAATGCACAAATGTCCTCCACCCTAGAACACGAAATGGATACTATATCCATGGAGGATCAACCTATAAAATAAAATATTGGGCACCCAAAAGCCATGCAATTGGAAGCCCCAATCATTACCCTATGCCCCAATCCCTCTCACACTACTAGTAGCCCCAATCCCACGCCTGTTTCAGGGTCTTTAAGTATACAACCTTCTATTAAAAATGCCAAGACTCCCATCAAACCTAAGAAGAAGATACGGACTCATACAAATTCTACGACATCACAGAGCTCAAACTATGGAGAACCTACCACCCTTCCCGCTATAACCAGAAAACCCTCAGATCATTTATGTCCAACCTCCACAAGCACAGGCCTGTCTCGTGGATGGAAATGTGTCTAATGGGACATGCAGTTTCATTCAATCTCCAAATCAGTGGTCAGGAATCGATAGTCATACTATACAACATTCAATACCTAGCCCAATTGGTGACAGAGGGCATGAGGCTTGCGATGAACAATTATCTAAACCACGTTTGGCTTAACAGCATCCTCCAACCCTTAGCTCCTTCAATGAACCCACACTTGGTGCATGCAATGAGAAATCAGTGGAATATGCCACCACATTTCAATCCAATCCACCCACAGAATGCCCTCCTAGACATGCCATTCTTCCCACCAGAGATGCTATCCCAACTCAATCCCATATTCATGCCATAGGAGAACCCACAGCAAGCCCAGGAGCAACCAATTCCTCCAATATACCAACAAGCACCACCACCACATCACCAAGCAGTTCAGGAGCCAGAACCCGTAGAAGCATCCATGGAGGAGGAAGAGGAAACCCTCAATCTAGCCTTAGAACAAGTCCTAGAGTTCTCAAATCTAGACGGGATAAAAGTGTATCTTTTCACGGAGATGCAAGAGAAGAGGCATGTGCTCAATTGTCCACTAGCACTATACAATTGCTCGATGGACATCAGACCACCTCAGGATCCAACAGTAGGCAACAGAGCTATGATTCTAGTTCCATCACTGAGAAGGAATCCTGTCCTTCTAGTGGAAGTGAGGAAGAATGGGGAACCAACAAACTCGAACCTTAATATCTCTATGAATCGTCCAACAAATTTTATCATATGGAACATAAGGTGTGGAAACAACGACAATTTCAGAAGAAATTTTAGGGAAATGATAGACACTCACAGGCCATGCATGGTAACCTTGTAGAGACTAGGATGGGAAACCATGCTGAGATGCTAAAGGATTTTAGTTTTACGCAGATGATAGAAGTACCAGCTGAAGGTCAGGCAGGAGGCATGGTTGTGATGTACAACCATGAAGTTGTCACTGTCCAAAACTTCGTCCGTAGGAATCAGGAAATCCATGCAACAATAGAGGTATTACCTATTCATAAAACTTGGCCTTTTACTTCAATATATGCTAATACTGACATGCATAATAGAAATATGATGTGGGAAAATCTAGAAAATATTAGTAGGACCTATAAAGGACCTTGGATGGTAGGAGGAAATTTTAACGATATTTTAGTCTCAACTAAAAAATTTGGTGGAAAACCTTTAAATGACAGTAGAGCTAAGTATCTTTGGTCCAAGATTAGGCTTTAAAGGGTGCAAGTATACTTGGTCTAATCACAGGCATAGGAATAAAGGACTCATAATGGAGAGACTAGATAAAGTACTAGGAAACGAGGAATGGTAGAACTATTCCCTAAAAGCTCTATAATACATCTACCCAAGACTTACCAAATCATAATCCTATCCTAGTAGAATTAATTCCAAAAATAGACTAATTCATAAACAACCCTTTAGGCTTGAGACCTTCTGGTGCAAGCATCCGAAATTTCATACAATTCTAAAAACTAATTGGTATGGATCTGACTATTTTAAAGCTAGCCAAATTTTGTGGACAACATTAGGTCTTGGAAGGACAAAACTTTTGGTGATATAATGGAAAAAAGAGAAAAATACTAGCAAGACTTGAAGGAATCCAGAATTCCAAGAATTATGCCTATAGTAATTTCCTTCAAATATTGGAAAAAGATTTAAAAAAGGACTATAATGACATCCTTAGGATTGAGGAGGATTATTGGAAAATAAGGTCTAGGGTAATGTGGCTAAACGAGGGAGATGCCAACACAAAATTTTTTCACATTTCTGCCTCTAATAGAAGAAGAAGAAGAAATAAAATTAATTTCTTTAAAGATGATGCTGGAAATTGGATCAATGAGCCCCACTTATTTATGTCACACGTTCTTAGTTACTTCTCAAATATGTTCACCACTTCACACTCCAAAGCAAGCTGGATTAGTCCACTAAAAAACAACTCTACACACTCTAATTTAATCCTAAACTCTCTGGATAGTCCCTTACTAGACATTGAAATTAAAAGGGCTATTTTTCCTTTTAAACCTTTCAAAGCACCAGGGCCGGATGGTCTTCACCCCTTTTTTCCCAAAAATACTGGAAAAGTTATAGGCCATTCAGTAGTGAAGCTATGTCATGACATTTTTAGAAATCAGGAAATGCCCAAAGACATCAACAGAACCTATCTTTGTCTAATCCCAAAAATCCTTAATGCTAATAACATTAGGAATTTCAGACCAATTGGCCTTTGCAATACCATTTACAAGTTGATTACAAAAATCCTTGCAAATCGCCTTAAACCATTCCTTGAACAAATTATAAGTCCCTTTCAAGCAAGCTTTATGAAAAATAGAAGAGCTTCTGACAATGCAATCATCATTCAAGAACTAGTTTCCAATTTAAAAAAAATAAAAGGCAAACAAAGTCACATGATCTTAAAAATTGATTTGGAAAAAGCATTTGATCGATTAGAATGGTCCTTTGTCCATCACACTCTAAGATACTTCAATTTCCCGCCAAAATTCTCAAAACTGTTATTAAATTGTATATCAACAAGCTCTATAGCAGTTTTAGTTAATGGCTCCATCACTAAATTCTTCGAGCCAAGCCGAGGAATTAGGCAAGGTGATCCCATATCACCTTATATCTTCATCCTTTGCTTAGAAATGCTATCAAGATACATAAATCATCAAGTTGAAATTAGAAATTGGGACCCATTAACCATAGGAAGAAGATGTCCAAATTTTTCTCACTTATTCTTTGCAGATGACCTTACTTTAATGGCAAAGGTCAATAACAAATCATGCCAAACCATTAAGAAAGGATTAGACTTTTTTTGTGACCTGTCAGGACAATGTATTAACACTACTAAATCTAAAATTCTCTTTTCAAAAAATTATCCTCCAGCACCAAGAGACTAGGTATTAAAAAAAAGTGAAAACTTTGGCACCTACCTAGGATTCCTTATATTAAGCAAATACCCAAGGCCAACAGACTACCAATCATAATTGATAAAATGAGAACTAAGCTAGCATCCTGGAAAATGAATTTCATAAATATAGCAGGAAGAACAACTCTATCACAATCTTGCCTAAACTCAATACCCAACCATTATATGCAATACACATTACTTCCAAAACAGGTCCTTAATAAAATTGATAAAGTTCAGAGATTACTTCCAAAAAAGGTCCTTAATAAAATTGATAAAGTTCAGAGAGACTTTATATGGGGTACTACCACTGAAAGAAAAAAAGTTCATCTTATTAAATGGTCAACTATTTGCCAATCAAAATCCAATGGAGGTCTTGGTATCCATAATGCAGATGCCAAGAACTTATGCACACTAGCTAGACTAGTATGGAGAATCTTTAAAAATGCTACAACCCCCTGGGATGGACTAATCATCACCTCTTATGGAACTAGTAGTGCTAAAAACAAAAACTCCTTCGTCTGGAAAAGCATTCAAAAGGGGTGGGAAATATGCTCCAAAGGTATTATTTGGTCACCCCATTATAGTTCCAATATGAACATATGGGAGGCCAATTGGATTCCCAAACTAGGTAACCTTAGAAATACAGTGGAAGGCCCTCTCTTGGGTACTGATTATTCCATAAAAATAAAGGACATCTTTAATGGAAAAAAATAGAACTTTAATGAGCTTTCGCTAAACATCCCTAATGACATTAAAGAAAGCATCTCT